GCCAGCCTAGAGCGAGTTCCAGAACAGCCTCCAAAGTCACAGAGAAACCGTGTCTCGAAAAAACAACAACAAAAAAAGAATACAAGGTGAGATTCATCTGAATTGAACTTAGAAGGACAGATGACAAAAACAAACCACAAAAAAAAACCAACAACACGGGACAGCAGGCACACCTGACCTACCCTTGAAGCAATGAGAGAAGGTGAGTAGAGAAAATCACTTACCTTCAAACTGTCGGGCCAGGAGGTTGCCCAGCCATCGCTCTAGCAAAGGTGTAATTCCACGCATGAAGAACAGCCAGACTCGCCAGCCAGCAGCCCAGAAACCACAGCCAGGGCCTTTCCCTACAGGGCCCTACAATCAAGCAAAAATCAGGAACATAAATGAACAATTCTTTTAGGAAAAGATAGAAAACAGGGTAGAAGTAGAAAAGAAGGAGAATTTGACAGGCTGCTAAGGAGACAGGGTAAATGTTCTTGAGTCCTCACAATCTAGAAAATGAGAACTTCAAGGCAGAAAGTGAGGCTCCTCCTTGGGAAAGAGCTCCACCTGCACGGAAAGCAAAAGAGCATCTGAGGAGGTAGGTAGTGAGGGCGGGATCTCACCGTATTGAATCGGTAATAGATGAGATGCTTCAAGTCCTTGCACATGCGGATCTGCCTCATCAGTTTATATTTGTATCGATACATGCCGGTTAACTGCCCCACGTGGGCAAATATATACTGCAATCCATCTGCCAGCTGCAATAAAATCACCCATCAGACTTCGAGCCTGAACTGGCTCCACAGCCAGCACAGGCTTCACCCTGCCTCCCCATCTGGGCAGAGGTTCAAGCAACACAGCCTCACCTGGAAGGCATCCACATTGCCCAAGCGGTACTGCACATGACTATCCACAACCAGCTTAGTTAACCGCAGTACTTCCCGACACAGATGGAACGCATTCCCAAAACGAGATTTTTTTCTTTCCTGAGAAGGACAAGAACAGAAAGTACATTAATGACAGTGGCCACAAAAGGAGTTATGCCACAGTGCCATCCATCCCTAAGCCCAGCAGGGCCTTGAGGCCTGATGAAGGCACCTTGGTAGTGAGCGTCTTGACAGGCTTCAGGTTGAAGTTATAGTCCAAGTGCAGGTAGTTGAGGTTCTTCCGGTGAATGAGAAGGTTGAGCATGTTGTAGCCCTGGCGGCAGACCTGCAGCCCCACCTCCACCCAGTCTAGCTTTGTGGACTGAAAGAATTTGGTAGCTTTGAATGAGCGGAACAGATACCTGGGTAAGAATAAAGAAGAGAGTTAAAGCTGGCACACTGACACTTGGACAGAGCTGTAGCAGGGGCTTCCAGCAACTTACCTCTTCTTTTGGGCTTTAGGAGGCCGATGCTTGAGGGCATTCAGCACATAGTACTTAAGCAGCTTCTGATAGGAGACTCGCACCTTCACAGGCTGCCCAGCAGGACAATGCTCCCGATACCTGGGTAAATAAGCCCATCAGAGCTTTGCCCACATCTCCTTCAAGACACTCTGGGAAAGGCTGCAACCCCATCCAAATAAAGTCTTTTCTCCTATATTATCCCTCTACCACTAGCCCCTTAGGTAGAAACCTTACCAGTTCTTGACAAGAGGTATGTCCAGGGCCCGGCGGGTACGACCAGAGCGTAGGTTAAAGGGCCGTGGTGCCCAGAGCAGGGCAATGCCATTGGCTGTATTGTCTGTATAGAGGGGTGTGTCCTTCAGAAAGGGCTCCACAAACTCAGGGAGTTCAAATTCCTCATCATCATCAGGCAATGGTTCCTGGCTCTGAAAAAGAAATCCTCCAGGGTTCATTTTCTACTATGTGCAGACTTGAGATGAGCGGAAAATTCTCTGGGACCAAGCATCGTGGCTACATGTGCCATGAAGATTCAGATGCCTGACAGTAAAAGCCCGAAAGAGCCTGGCAAAGGAGTCAAGGGAGCAGAGAAGAAGACCAAGCTAAACAGGAAATCAACCCATCCACTTACCACTAAAAGCCTCCCAAAGGAGTACTATACCATAGGAGGTGCCCACTGCAGTCAGTTATGACTGAACTCCAATGAGCTTAAGGAAGGAGGCCTGAAACCCCAGCACTTAGGGAGAGGCTAAGACAAAAGGTCTGAGAGTACAAACCAACCTGGAACTGCACAGTCAATTTGTGTCAGCCTGTACTATATGTTCAAAAATAAAAAAGCGGGGTAGAGGCTGCTGAGAAGCAGAAATCTTGCCTAGCATGCATCAGACCCCAAGCTCACACCCCATAACGCATGTGATTTCATCTTACCTTGACTGAGTGTCTATGAGAGATTGGGTTGATCAGAGGATCAAAGTAGAAAGCTGGCAAATCAGGATCCTCAGTCTTGATGAATACAACATTAGGAGTGTGGTACCTACAAGGAAAGCAAGAGTCAATCACAGCTCTGCTCTGGACCAAATTTATATGGGTTTTCTCCTGTCGAATTGCTATATTCCAGGTGTCTTACCAGGTCAGGTGGACATGGTGTGGAAGGTTGTTATACAGGTAAGGAAAAGCAATCTTGTATTCAGTACGAATAGGCTGACGGATGATGATCTTATTAATATCATTGAATTCATTCCAGTCTTCATCCCTAGAACAGGAAACCGGATAAGTAGTCTAGCTCCATTGCTAGACAAGAATCTTAAGGATAAAAATTAGATTTTAATACATACAAAGTGCCTAAAATTGGCAGGGTGGTGATGGGCGCGTGCCTTTAATTCCAGCACTCGGGAGGCAGAGGCAGGCAGATCTCTGTAAGTTCAA